AAACGTTTGGGTGGGTGTGGGTGTGGATGTATCTTTATCTTCTTCAGCCATCCACACCCACACCCATCCTTGAGTTCCTTGGGATCCTTGGCTTCCTTCAGATCCATGAATTCCTTGGGATGCATGAATTCCTCGGGATCCTCGAATTTCTTGGATTATTTGGGATTCTTGAATTTCTTTACGCTATCTTATGCTGTAGTTTCTTAGTGCCCGTACGTATTAAATAATATTTGAGTTCAAGAATTCCTCAAGAGTTCGGAATTCACGGATTTCGGACACTACTGACAGGAAACCTACCGATTGATTTTTGCTAGTAACTTCTTAGAGAGACGAGTTATTGCTCGCACTTGACTATGCGTTGTCCATACATGGTTAAATTATACCAAGATCTACTTAGTTGATGTTTTCTTTCAAGAAATTTGTACGTTGAAATTTTTTCTTCGGCTTTTTAAATACACATCAATCTGATCGTAATGTATACTGAGAATCACATGACAATAAAGAAGGGTGTAGGTGTTCTCTTCATCCACACCCACACCCAGACACACCCACACCCAGACACACCCACACCCAGACACACCCACACCCAGACACACCCACACCCAGACACACCCACACCCACACCCCACACCCACCCACACATCGACAGCCGCAGCCCACATCCACAGCCACCCACATCCTAAGTGTGGATTTCTGGGTGTGGGGTTGTGTTTCAGCAGTCTCTACAGCCACATCCATCTTGTCTGGATTTTGTTATTGAATTTCAAATAGATACGCCATGTGATGAGTTGTCTAGCAGAGACGAAACGTGTCATGGCAGTTTCTATTTCTTCACATCCATTTCTTCGATATTTCGAAGATTTTATCGCTAACGCTTATAAGCTACTTCGTCCTCTTTTTGTGACTTTTTTTTTCTTTCGTTCTTGTTCAAGGTAAACAGTATGACTGTATGACATAGAGATAAAAAAAGACTGGGTTTTTTCACAAGATACTTTTATTTAAACAGTCTTGTTTTCATTTTTTTATATAACCAGCAATGCATCATCTAATGTGTTTATAATAGAAGAGTGAGTTCGAAAATGATTGCAATTTGAACAAAATGATAATAGTTTAACCAGTTTATAGCTAATTTCTTTTTAGATTTTAATTTGTGGCAAAATATATTATGGCATTTGATTCCTTTAAGAGGAAGAATGAAGATGATGGGATGGATAGTTTTTTCACTACTGAACAAAAAGTTCGACGCGTCGATACTAATCCTACACCATATAAATACGGCAGAGATTGTCGAAGGGAAGATTGTAGATTTACGCATTTAGACGCACCGAAAGGTGCAGCAACAACAACAAAATCTGCTTGTAAATGGGATATGAATTGTACTCGACTCGATTGTCATTTCAATCACCCAAATGGGAGATCGATTGACCACAAAATGAACTTTTCCTCTGACAATACTGAAGAAAACACTGCATCAAGTCAAGGTATTTCATCACATAGTAGTAGTCGATCTTCATCAAGAACATCACAAAAGAGAATGCGCGGTAGTCGTGTTGATACTAATGTTATGGAATTAGACTGCAGTTTTGATCATCTGAATGATGAAGATATCAATCAAGTGCTGATCACTGATGACATCAAGACAATAAGCAGTTCGACTAGTGAAAAAAAACAGAAACTATCAGATAGTGAACTTATTGAAATAATTGATGAATTTTTATCAATAGCAAAAGAAAAATTGCAAGAATTCGATATTAGCGATGAAAAATACAATAACGGTGATGATGAACAAGTAATTGACACTGTTCAACAGAACGCTTTAAGAGAATCCGGATTACAAAAAAATGAATTTCAGTCTGCAATCAGCTGTCTAAACAGGGAATATAACGATATTCTTCCATTGTTAAGAAATAATAGCGATAAAGTTTTACAGCTACAACGTATAAAACAAAAACTAGAATGTGAATTAAAACATTGGCAATCATATCTTCCTATATATACAAGACGTTCGGATATTATTGAAAAATTGAAAATAAATCAAGTTTTGATTTTAAAAGCTGATAGTGGTTCAGGAAAGAGTACACAAATTGTTCAATATCTGAGCGATGCAAATTTTGCTGATGAAAGTAAAGGAATATTATCTTCTTGAATTCTATTTTTTACATACAATGGTCATATATTTATTTCAGAACAAATTATATGTACGCAACCATATAAATTAATGGCACGATCTTTAGCAGCACGAGTAGCTGAAGAATATGGATGTAAGATCGGTGAAGAAGTAAATAAATTAATGATTTTTAGTATTTCTTTGTTATTTCACTTTGATGTCTTTTATTAGGTTGGTTTCCAAGTAGCCAGTGGTGAACCCATCACTTCAAGTCGAACTAAAATAAAATTCGTTACTGATACAGTCTTTCTCAATGAATATCAAAACAGTCCAATGTTAGAACAGTACTCAGTCGT